ATAAGAGGATTAAATGTGATTATCTCATCAGGATATATATAACTTGAAAATATACTTTTAGTTTTAATCTTCGTAGAATCTCTAAAGAACAAGAGATTCACCGCATGAGAATATGAATTAAGTTTCATGATCGTCTACTGTTTTGATAATAAGAAAATTCTCTAATTGTTGGGTTTATTCATTTTTTATTTTACTCTTTCATGAGTTTTATAAATATGAACATTACTAATTCTAATTAGACTTTTATTCAAGTCTTAGAGTTTGGTATAAATTATATTCGTTTGAGATTTTTAATTAATTTAACATCTCATTGTTTTATCTTAAATTATATTTGAGATGTTTATGCATTTGAATTCATTAAATGCATATCTATGAATTTTATTCATAAAAGAATGGATACAAATTAAAGGAATATATCCATAAAATAGTAGAATGATATATACAACATTTGACTTGAGGTCATAGCACTCTAAAGTATATGAGTGACATTTGTAAATTAGTACAACCTATAACAAATAGGTGTTTTAACTTTTAACTTATTCTGGTGATACACAATAAATTAAGGAATGAGTGTTTATTTATTGAAGTAATTCCTTATTATCATTTATTAAGGGTGATGAACTATTTAAATATTTCATGTCTAAATGAATAAAATTGTATCTCCGACCTCTAAAGTGTATCTAGAAGTCGTTAAAATTACCACGTTAGAAGGAACCATGTCATGGATCAAAGTCTTGTGAGCGGGCTCTTGTCAAAGTAACAAGAAAGACTTGTCCCTTATACACCTTGTGGGGCTTCCTTGAACCCTCACATTGTGAGAACATCAATGTCCATCGAGCTACCCCTCAATGGGTTTCACATAGAAATTCGCTATAATAAAAATGAGATAGAAAAAAATATTATATTGCGATAATAAATGTAAAAGAAAATGCATATTTAAGCAGGTTATGAGATAAAATGGTCATTGACTCATGCAAACTTTGAAATAACTCATTCAAGTTATTAATCATTCGAATAAAGGATGAAATAGGATCCAACACCATGTAAATTGTTGGTTTTAGCATTTATAAATAGAAAGCAATATCAATCTTCTAAAGTACGAGAAGAAATATTTACCTTTCGTTACGCCTTACAGATATAGTAGAAGACACGTCAGTTATTTCTTAAAGTTTACTCCTTAGTAATAATGGAATCGAGATGTATCTATGCTAAGGATATAAAAATGTAGATATCTCATTTTTTTAATTTGACACATGAGAACATATCTACCAAAATGCGGCCATTTAAGTAATTATGCTTTGGTAGAAATTTACTCATACTATCTATTTTTCGGTTACATAAAAATGTTGCATTTGCAAAACTTCTAGCAAAACTTATTTATTTAAGGGTCCACCACCCGACCAATCAAGTCTATATGACTTGTTACTGCTAGACAGTTCTCATCAAAAGTATTTGATGATTATTGCATATTTTTCGAGATCAATGAAAAACATCTCGCATCCCATGTGAAAAAAAGAACTCAGTAAAAATCACATCTAAAAGAATATTGATGGTGAATATTATATCTATTATGCGCACACTAATATTTTTTTATGGGATTATGCAATATGCAAGCACTCTTACACATTTGTTTTTTTTAAACCGATACTAGACAACCACGTTTATGTATACCAGTTGGTGACTGGATATTAGCCTGAGATGTTCTACTTATGAATATGTGGTTGTTAAATAGTTGTGCCTATTGCGTCTCCCACAATGCACTATAATCGGTTTTAAAAGAAAAATGATGTTTATGTTGGATATGAATCCCCAACAATAATCCGCTACTAGCCTTAACAAATAATGTGTACACCGCTTTGCGGGATATGACTTTGATGAGACAATTGATTTTCCTGTCATTAGGGGAGATTAGAGAAAGAACTCTCTAATTGAATGACAAAATCATTATGATGGTACATCACTACTTTGTCTCAATGATAAATCTTAGACTTCAAAATGTAACATTGAAGTTAAAGTGGTATCATAAATGATTTAAGTAATCGGATTATACACACTAGCTGCAAACATATTTATAAGGCTTGAATTTAAATTAAAAGAAACAATGCTAAAGGAAGAAGCATTGCAATCACAAGCAGTGGGGTTGTGGTTGAGGTCGTGGCTCTCTAAAGGAATAGAGGGAAGCCACATGGTTCGATTAATTATCCACCCCAAGTAGTAGAGGGTAGATAAGGCACAAACCAATATACTCGTCATCATATGAATTCCTCTCATGAGATTATCTCTGATTAAACATGTCCATGAATTTATAATGGGGGACGCCCCGAAGTTTAAATGATTTCAGAGAATTAAAATCTCAATGTTAATGAGAGTGTGTATGAGTCGAATGATAACCCTTACACTTATACTGATGATATATTTATACAGTTGCTCAAAGGAGCATAGAGCACGATGATATCGAACCATAATCTATTGCAATATGAAAGCAATGAGAATATTGGCCTAAATGCGTACAAGTAATCCAGGTATAAAATTTAATATTTGACAAAGAGACAGGTATTTGGTATGATAGTGCTAATCAACCAAGTGTAAAGCCTGTAGGACATGAAATAATTCTTTGTTAGAAAGTGTAATGAGATAATGAGGTCCTAATTATTCTCACAACGCCCTGGATTCAAATATGAAAAGTTATACTTCTCTATTTTGAACACAAAAACGTTCAACTACTTAATCTATAAGTAGACTCCAAAGTAATGGAGATGGAGCTAAAGATTGTGGATATTAAATGTCTCAATAGAATTTCATTAAAGAGATGTATATGAAGTATTTTTTTATATTTTTATTATCTTTAATCAAGTGGTTTTAAATTACATTGTATATTTACATTGAAACGTTCACATTTGGATTAAATCAATCCAGAGGAGGGTGACATACCCGTCTAAGTGACCACTTGACTAAAAAGGGATAGAGAAAGATAGATTATGCTTTCCCTTCAAGTATAATTATATGTCGAAGATATAGGCATGGTATGTACTCATATTAAAGAAAATGAGAAATCCTAGATACTTGAAAGTCATTATTGAGATAAAGGATCTTGGGAAACTCGGGTTGTTTTGAAAACACCGAGTTGGTTGAATAATAATTCACCAGTTGCATATATCCAAAAGGGTTCTCAGGCAAATTAGCATGGATAAATGTAAACTGTTAGGACTCCCATGATTGGTCAAAATATGGTTGCTAGAAAACATATCCATTATTGGAAAATCATTGGGAGAAGGAATTCCCTATAATTGTACTTTGACAAACACATTCGACCAAACAATACATTCTCAAGAACTGTTAGCTGAAAATAGCTTAGGACCAATACATCATCATTGAAATAGTATCAAGAATGTACTTTGATATCTATATGAAACCATTGGTGTAATCTTTATCCATCCCTTATAAATTAATTAAATGATTGATGATAATAATATTTCTAAAGGAATTGGAAATGTCAAAAGTATCACTCTAACACAAAATAACGTGATTTGAGTTTTACCGATGATGGATATCCCCTTACCTCATCGATACTTTCTTAAATGAGTATATATTTACCATGAAAGAAACCAAGATGTTATATACGGAATACCTTGATAAAAGTATATATCAAGTAGATATCGAATTCTTATTAATGTGTTGCACTCAGGGGGAGTCCTTACATAATTATTTATCATCAGTTATATTGGTGCGTTGTACTCCTTTTCTTTTCCCCTTTAGACCATGGTTTATTTTTTCCCATTGGGTTTTGTTACTTGGTAAGGTTTTTTTAATGAGACAACATAATATGCACCATCCCACATTTTAATTTTGCGAAAGTAAAACAATGTTGAAGAAAGAACATAATTACTATATCGCAGTCAAAAGTAATTGACTTGTAGGTATTAGTGCACCATATTTCCTTTTGACCGATGTTTATTTTTTCCCATTGGATTTTGTTCATTGGCAACGTCTTCGCAAGTTAATAACTTGGGAAAATTCCCTACGCTCGACACACAGGGGGAGAATTAAAGGAATTATATTCATCTATTGTGTGCCTTCGCTAAGGTAATTAATGTGACAAGTATTGAAATGCACATATTTTACAAACACCCTTGATTAATGTAAATATTAAGGGTAAATGTAGACTTGAGGGGGAGTACCCCAACTAGATTACGTTACACTCTTTTCCTTTACCCAAGTTTTATTTTTTCCCACTGAGTTTTGTTACTTGGTAAGGTTTTTAATGAGGTAACAATACTTATAAACTTTAATGATCAAAGCAAAGATCAAATAAAGATAGACTTAATGAAAGAAGCCTATCTTGATGCTATACTCCTTTTTCTCCAGTCAAGGTTATTTTTTCCCACAGGGGTTTTGTTACTTGACAGAGTTTTGAAGAGGCAACAAGACACATACAATATTCTATCTACAACTCAACACAAGGGGGAGTGTTGAAGGAAATTCTATGTTGTGTGCTATCGTTTAGATAGAATATGTATTAGAGCCTTTCTATGTAAATGATGTATTATGGGCCTATTGGCCCGTAGTTGTAAACCCTACTCTATCCCTATTTATAGGGGCTCTCGGTAATGAAACTCCACGAATCATTCTCCCTACAACAGTATTATATATTTTAACTTCAATTTTTATAACTTAATTTTAACTTAATTTTAGTTTCATTTTAATGGAAGTATTCATTTTAACTACTGTTTAACTACATGTTAATGCACCACACAAATGAAGTATTCTATTTTGTGACTACATTTTTTGAATGCAGTTTAGAATTTTTTTGTATGTTATGCATTCCCAATTTTTTCTCATGCACTTGTTCCTGATATTCCATGCACATTTTGTTTTGACTTCACCAAATGCAGGTATAACATGGTTTTTGCCCCTTTCACTGGCGTTGATAATCACAAAAAGTGCATTACTTTTGGTGTTGGTTTATTGTTGAAAGAAGACGTTGAATCATATGTGTGGTTGTTTCGTTCTTTTTTGAATGCAATGGGTAGGGAACCAACGTGCATCATAACAGATCAAGACCCTTCTATGAAAATTGCCATTCCACAGGTCTTCACAACATCTTGTCACAGATTTTGCATGTGGCATATTATGGAGAAGGTGAGTTCGAAAGTTGGACTAGTTTTGAGTAAAGATGCAAAATTTTTGAAGGAATTGAATTGTATTGTGTGGAGTCATTATTTTCAACCAGCTGAATTTGAGATGAGATGGAACAATTTGATGAAAGAGTATGACTTACTTGATCACATTTGGTTTTCACACATGTTTGAGATTAGGCGATTTTGGATTCCTGCTTATTTTGGTGACCATTTCATGGTGGTTTTGCTTAGGACTACTTCACGTTCAGAAAGTGAAAATAATTTTTTCAATGAGTTCACGAATCCTAACTTCAGCTTAGTTGAGTTTTATATGCAGTTTGAGAGTGCAATGAATTCTCAAAGGCATAATAGGGCACAATTGATCAAAGTTTCAGACTCTTCCATTCCTTAGTACAAGACTCCATTAAATATTGAAAGATATGCATCCTCTGTTTACAATCTTTCAATTTTTATCTTGTTCAGAACGAAATCTGTTGTGCTTGTTTTTCTTGTGCTGTTGTTAGTCTCCAACATGAAGGTTGTATTTTTACGTATGTCATATCAGATGAACGAGGTTTTAATTTCACAGTTGTGCACAATACTAATGACGGTACTACAGTTTGCTCTTGCAAACATTTTGAAAGGATTGAGATTTTGTGTCGTCACATTTTCTTTGTGTTCAAAGAGAAAAAGGTCAATGCAATTCCAGATAGATATGTCCTAAGGCGATGGTGCAAAGATTCGATTCTAAAGCCTCTTAATGCATTTGAAGATGGTGTCTTTGAAGAGTGTGTTGGCACAGAAGAAAAAACACTAGCAATGAAGACATTGTGGTCTGACATTCATTTTTGTGTTGGAATGATTGACCATCATCCTGACTTGTTTCATCAATTTTCAGATGCCATTAAGGAGCAAAAAAATATTCACTAGCTATCAAGAAAGTAGTGCAGGAGCATCTACAAAAAGTGACGTTATCAAAAGTTATTATGGGTCATCTGTTCCTACAGAAGTTAGCGTCCATCCACCTCAGCAGGCTCGGAATAAGGGTTGCGGTAAGAGAATTAAAGGTGGCAAGGAGAAGTCAATTGAAGTGCGCAATAAGACTAAGAGGTTATGTAGAAAATGTAATAAAAAAGGATATCATGACAGTAGGAATTGTCCTTTGAACTTGGAGGATTGACTAATTTTTTATTTATTTTGATTATTTATCCTTTATACAAGGATCAATGATATTTCTTTTGTATGGATTTATATGAATTTTAAATTAAATTTGTATGACTAATTATTCTTTGTAATTTTATGGTAGTACGAATTTAAAAGCAGTTATTGCATTGGTACAACAATATTGTGCGTTTTATTAGAATCAAGTGTGCATTATATAAATTACTCAATCGTGTAATCTTTTTTTTCTTTCTCATTATTTATCCTTTCAGCACTGAGCAATTATTGTTCTTTTGTATGCACTTTTATAAATTTTAAATTAAATTCTTATGAATATTTATCCATTTTATTTATGTGAATGTATTAATTTTTAATTATTTAGTTCATTGGTATAACAACATCACTTTTTAAAAAACAATTCTGCACACATGTATGCATATGCACTTTTTAAAATATATTTTGCAGAATTCGATCGCATCGTTTCATACCTCAATCACACTCATACAAAATTAAGCGTTACAAATGCACATTCACGAGACCACATATAATTGTGAATCCAGTTTAACACAAATGTCAAACACCATTTAATAAATTAAATCCCAAAAATTAAAATTGTAACCAACATATCCAAAACAGTAAGGCATCATGCCTTTGAAAAACAACAAATGCCCGTAAAATAATTAAAAGTGCAATCAATTTAAGCAAGTAATGCTTAATTCAACCTTGAAATCTACTTCTTAATTGTTTTTCCCTTCCCAAATTCCTTAACCTCGTCTAAGTTCTTTTCCTTCAACTCATTTATGTCCAATGAGATTAGTGCAGCACAATACTTGACTCACAATTGCATGAGTCCCCTCACATCCCCTTTCTTCACTCCAACATCCCATCCTTTGGCGCCTTGTCCCATGTATGTTTCCATGTGCCGCATGCTCCACAATCCGTAGTCATGCTCATTCCTAGATTCTCTCCAACTCATTGCCAACCTCTTCAAATTCGGTGTGTAGAACGTGTTGGAGTCATTATCAAGACCCACTTCTGTTAAGTAATCCACAAAACATATCTCTCTGTTTTCAAAATTTGCAAGACAATTAATATTACTGAATCAAATGATTGATACGTATTACGATTTTACTGTGTATCAACTACAAACTCACCAGACTATATGGCATCTCACCATACTTCTCATCAAGTTCCAGGTTATCTATTGTGTTGTCTAACACTTCAATGTGTTGTTGCTTCATGTTCAAGCACACAACATAACAGTGTTTGGGTTGCACTATTGGAAAGAAGAACTGCAAAAAAAGCATATTTAATATACAAAAAAGTTTTCACAATTTATCCACAAAATAAAAAATATAAATATATTAAAATTTTACCAAATCCACATCTTCCATTTTTATTTCCGGATTGACATTTTCCAAAGCCAGCAACATTGCTTCTTTAAACACTTCATGAGCTTCATTTTCAGGTAGTGCGTGCTCCATGGTGTAAAGTTGTTTCACATTGAACAATTGTAACATTAATGTGCACTGCACTAACAAAATAATCAAATTAATTACGAAATAAATTATGCTTTGTTCATTATGAATCTTACACAAGGAATGGATTTTGCAAACAGTCTGCATGGTGATGTGCTACTGCGTACTTTTTCCTTAGTATTCAAGTATACGGTCCATGCGTCTAACACATTCATGCACAATTCCTTTTTTCCCGTAAGTGAAAAAAAAATCTCCTCTCTTGCACATAATTTGCCTGTACTTGAATATAATTTCATCCCTATATTCAACAATACAATTTAATATGTTATTTTATAACAATATTTTTAGCAGTAATAAGTGTGGAAGAGATTTTTTTTCCATTTTAACCTCTTATCAGCTGCATTTTGCATCACCCATCTTCATATCAGTTTTTCTTGTGCACTCGATATGTCATTAGGGTCTACCACCCTGGCCATATATGGAGATTTACACACTTCCGCAACCTTTCCTGTTCTTTTTGGTCTCAAATAGGTACTTCTACCTATAACCAATTTAGTATTTGCTCCCTTCATTTTGTCCTCCTGCAGGTTCTAGTTAAAACCAATTCAAATTCACCAGGATAACTAACAAACTCAATTATTTAAAATGCACATCACCTATTTTTAATAGCAATAATATAAAATAAAAAAAAAACTATGTATGGACTGCACTAATTAGTAAAGGACCATGCACATTTGTGTAATATTTATTATACCAACTTATGTTCATGTAGTACCTATTACAGATGCTGAAATTAAGCTTCACAATGCACGTTATAAATTATTCATCAACACTTTTTTAAAGATTCAAGAGTACACTGTTTCTACAATTGACTTACCTCAACAACTTTCTCCTTTCCCTTCGATGTCTTGCTCCTCATATCTTTCTCCACTACAACCTTTACAAAAATTTGAAAAAAATATACTATTTTTATTTTCAAACCAAATATTTTATATTTGATACAGGTAACATCTACAAACCAAATTCATGTCTTAACAGATGCACATTAGGAAATGTTTTTATACTTTTATACTTTACTTACCTCAACCATTGCTTCTTTGCCCTTCATTATTTCACTGGTCATAACCTGCTCTCCATTATCCTTCTATAAAAAATATTTTATAAACTAACTTCTTTATATGCTAACATTAATATACAACATGCACAATATTGTTTCAGCCTAATATGTACAATTTTTAACATACACAATGTACATTATCAATTAATCATCATCACATTTATTAAAGATGCATTATATTACTATTTCTACACTTCACTAACCTCAACAACTATCTCCTTTCCCTTCTGTGTATTAGTCCTCATATCTTTCTCTACTTTAACCTTTAATAAATTTTTAAAAATTATCTCTCTTTTATTTTCAAACCAAAAATTTTATACATGATAAAAATCACACATGCCCACCACAACCACCACTCAACATCTGCACATTACTAATATTATGAATGCTTTAGGACTTTACTTACCTCAACAAGTGCTTCATTTCCCTTCAGCATGTCAATGCTGAAACCCTCCTCTCCATTCCCCTTCTAAATAATAGATATTAGATTTAAACAATCATTTTTATATATGCTCTAAGTAGGATAATAAAAATTAATATGTGATCAAAGTAACATATACTATCCACAATCATGCATCAACAAGTGCACATTTGGACTGTTGTAACTTACCTCAACAACTACTTGTTTGCCCTTCACCGTCTCACTTCTCAGACCCTCCTCTCCATGCACCTTCTATAAAAAGTTTAACAGATGCTCAAATTAGGATACACCATGCACAATGTATTTTCTTAATATTTGTAAAGTTCACTTACATCAACCACTGCTTCAGTAACAGTATTTATTTCACTTCTCATATTACCCTCTCCTTCAACCTTCACAAAGAAGTTAAAATCAGTACATTGTTTTTATGACACGGTAAGTATAATATGAGTTAATTTTTGGATGTATACCATATGATCATTTATTTCTCTATCATTCTCGGCACACAGTTCTGTTATGCTTGTCCATTGGATTGGTTTTTCTTGTGTGAGTCCAATTGAGAAAGAAGGAAGCTTTTCCATTCCTTTTGCGTACATAGTCTTTTTCAGATTTGCTCTTTCAACTCTTTCAACTGCACTAATTGTTTCTGCCCAAAAAGCAGCATCTTCTATCTCCGCATTACTTCTAACATCCGTTACTTCTCCACCTTCCTCCACTGATTTCTTCTTTGCTAGACCAATCAGTTGTTCTGCAGCTTCTTGCATTTTTTGTATTTTTCTGATTCAATTAAGCTTCTCGGAGCTTGTTCGCACATGTTGATCACATCAACCACAGTTGATGCCAATAGCTTGGTTTTCTCCGCGAATTTGATGACAAATTCCTGTAAATATGTTTCATATGTGATATCTGTCATGTGCACACTCATTGATAAATATATGCTACATATTAAGATTCTGAAACATGCATTTTTAAACCAAAGATTAATCTCTGAAATTAACATGAATTATATTTAAGTCATACCTCAGCCAGTCCACTACCACCTTCCCCATCTTTCTCTTTTTCTGAGTTCAAATCATTGCTCTTCAAACATTCTTCAATTGTCATTGGCCCATGACAGTACCCCATCCCAAATCCGCCACTCTCAATTTCCAATAACTCTCTATCTCTCAGTAGCTTTCCGTTCCACCCTTTCAGAACTGGGGAAGTCCTTCCAGCCTTGCATTTGTATAAAACAACACGGTCCACATAAAATAACTGCACAATAAATGTATGTTATTATTATGTAGCAATTAATAGCAAATTAAAGTTATAATTGTAAGTAACTATTTAAATTTTTTAACTTACTATTAGAAACAGCAATGGACCAGTAAAAGCCTTTGTTTTCTTCTTCTCCCGTGAAACTTTGCTCTCAATTAAACAATTAATAACATGATCACACCAATTTAGTTCACTTATCTGGTCAACGTCTTCCAATTGATTAATTATAAGTGGGTTCACGTACCCATTCTGAGAACTATCTAGTAGCAAAGATACAACTAGAACAATGAAATGCTTCTTGAACCAGTCACCTTCATGTGTTTTGCTAAGCATGGCTGCACTAATATCTGATGGGCCAATCTTTGAGCCCTCTTTGTCAAATATTGCTCTCCATTCAATCAACAAAGCACAGTCTTCATTTCTCTTTTTTTGGACAATTGGTTTTCCCCCCAAAGGAAACCCCAACACTCTTGCAACATCCTCCTCTGTTATGTGCACATAAGTATCATTGGGTAGCACTAATGAGCATTTTTTGGGGTCAAAGCAGTCCGCAACCCAAAATCCTAGCTTCCCAGGAATTTCAGCAACATCCAGATCAAATAGTGCACCAAATCCTATTTTCTTTACATCTGCTTTCTGAGCTTCGTTCATTGCACTCGGAGCTTTAACCAATACATGCAGTGATGATCTGGTTCGTATACTCCTATAGCCAGATTTGATTTGATTTGTACTTTTTTTCTTTGACATCACCTCTGTAACAACAACACCAAGATTTGGTTGTATTTGAAAATCATCATCACTATCTTCTTCTTCTCTTTGTTTCTTTTGTCTCTTCACTCTATTGTCTTCGGATTCATTCTCAGTTGCGTCCATTACTCTCTTTCCCTTTTCTTTCCTAGTAGCCTGCAATCTAGTTTCCCGACTTCCTACAATAATAATTTAAATGCACATTTAATGCTATACCATGCAATCATTCCATAATGAAATGTATTAACCAAGAATTACTCTTTACACCATTTCTGTTTCACATATCATTACAAATAATACTAAATTCATACTATTATACCCCAAAATTTATATAATCACATTGCACTTTATGAACTAAGAAGCATTCTTTCATACATGGTTACCAATATTCACACATTCTGACTTTTAAGATACAAAAAGCAATTTATGAACTTCTAGCAGCACTTATAAATAGCAGTCTCAACGTTTTCACATTATGCAATTAACGTTTTAATATAATGGCACTTTAAGTATATTTCATTCCTTCACATTCGACATTGCACTTTATGTATATTTCACTCTTTCAAATTCTACATTGCACTATTTAACCGCTAATCAAACTTTTTCAACCTTTGCATATTCTACAATTACACATGCACAATTTGCAAACAAAACCTATACCAAAATTACACAAACAAGAAATCTGACAATGCACTTTATGTTTTCACAATTTCACTTTTCTCATACCAAAAAAATGTATCAATCATATCTACACTCATCTAATGCGCTCTATCATATATCTAGAGACTCAAAACTTTCGATTCGTAGCACATTCCCAACTATGCACCACATAAAACAAACAATACATAAGTTTTTTTTTCTGAAAAAGAATCATAAAAGTACACCAAAATGGTTTACTTTGAACATGCATTGAATCTTTAAGCCAAGCAAATTAACACAAACACATAACTATCAACTGTTGTTCGAGATTTAGGTACATGTAGCACTCTTCAAACTACCTGATGCTCCGTCGTTCTCGTTCGTCGCTTCTTTCGATTTCTTCTCTTGCTTCTTTCGTTCGTCGATGCTTCTTGGTTCAGTAGAATTTTTCACAAGGTAGTTCTCTTAGTTCAAATATACTTACACATTAACCGGGATTCTTGCCATATAGAAAATAGTGCGCCAACCGTCATAATTAATGCGGCTTCTTCAATTTACTGTTTTGCCCTTTCAGGTGCAGGCTTTCGCCGTTTAACTTGCTGCACGCACGCCTCACGTGGTTTTTTTAGTCGCCTAGTATTAGAATCCCAGCCACACGATTGCAAAATTGGAGGGTCCAAAGTTAATCTTTTTTCTCTCCTGGGAATGTGTTCTCACAGGAACTGCTCCCTATATATATATATATTAAGTTATTAGGCCCATCACGCCCATATACCCTACTTCCCCTTTGTCAAATATATGATGGTCCAGCACCCCAGAGAATCCAAAATTTCTGCGGAGGGTCGCCAGAAGATGGTTGTTCTTCTGGTACAGGCGGTGATGAAAATGGAGCAACAGAGAACAGTAGATTGAGAGATGAAAATGGCATCTCATTAGTTTTATCTGAAATGTTATAATTTAAAATTTCATGATATTTTACTTCCTAATGATGTGGGTATTTAACCTGCAATTTTACATTGTTTTTTTGTCAATAGATTTTCAAAAGTAAACATGCAAATTGAAATGGTCCTAAAAATTTATATGGAATAATTCAATTGTCATAAACTTAACTATAAGAAGGAATGTCATTAAATTAATTTTTACAATCACAAAATGCTGTTCATAGAGTCTGCTCTATGCAAGCAATTTCAATTTTATTAAAGTTCAATTGTACTAAATAAAAATATTTATTCTTTTCGGATGTATATTTAAAAAAAAAAACAAAAACATTTATGCCAACAGTGTTTAGGGATGTATAGATTCGGTTCAATATAAACATACCTTTTCGTCGCTTAAAAGTAGCTCGTAAGAAATAAGTTGATCTAGATTAGATTGACAGACATTATTCCATTGCGTGACCAGCCTTACACGTAAAGACCAACTTTGCCTTTTATTTGAGATCTCTTCAATGCAATCATATTGCACCATGGAAGAAGGAGGAATCACCATTATTTCCCTTCTAAGAATTCTGTGATTATGATGTGAATTGTGGTTGTTACTACGGGTGGCTTGTTAAATATTTATAGGGTTTGTGGAGGATGAAAGCAAGGAGAATTGTATTTCAACTGGGAATGGTCTACAGCTAAATTGATCATATCTGCCCGAGTTTTATTAAGAATTTAACTCCTTTGTACTATGATTAGTAGATAACGATGAATAGAGTTTTAGTAAGAGTTTAACTCCTTTGTATTTATAGAGCATGATTGGGTTGACGTAATAATAATTCTACAACGATGGAATGTATTATAATTTTTATGAGTACCAGCCGTTATTAACCAATAAGGGGTTGCCATGTAAGTTATCTACAACGATGGATATGTAGATAACGTTGATACTATAACTGCTGCAACGCCAAGTTTATCTCCTTTGTACTATGATTAAATAGATAATGATGAATAGAATTTTAGTAAGAGTTTAACTCCTTTGTATTTATAGAGCAGATTGAGTTGACATAATAAGTGCAGGGCTGAACTACTTCAAGCTAATTTGTAGTGTATGATTAATGATTAATTTTATCTTTTTCCGTTTTTTTACTCAAATTGAATGTTTTAATGGAATAGTTATTAACCAATAAGGGGCTCCCATGTCACCTTTTAAAAACCGAGCTTTACTATATATAACTATAGATTAGGAAAATGGAAAGGAAAGGAAATGAAAATTGTTACAAATATGAGTAATTGAGGTTGGAAATACTAAGCGAGCATTTTAATTGCACTGTACTTCAATTATAAGTACACCTTGTGCAAAATCTTGTCATTTCAGCCGCAATGAACCCACTGCATTGGACATGCCCTTATTGGACTGCCATAACAAAATCCAGTAGTTTATATTTTACCCAATTCAGTTATACTTTCTCCAAAAACAATCATGCAGCGATGGGTCACAGTGTTTCCAAATGAAGATGTAAATTTGATAAACGGAAAGATAAAAACCCGGATAAAACCGCCCACCAGCACCTGAATCAAACTGGTTAAGGTTCTATCTTCAGGGCCCCAAGGAAACAGGCAAAAATCTAGTCATAAATACAGTATGTGATAAATATATTTGTGTATCCATCCAAATTACTAATAAGAGACAAGGGCAAGGATTATTTGAGTTTGCTGTTTCCCACACATATTCTAGTTGAGGCTGTCCTAAATATCTCTAACACATATAGGATGTAACATTTCATGGACAGAAGGTTACAGAATAACTACTATAGAATACCAAAAAATTACAAAAATGAGTACAAAAATACTTCCCCATTCTAAAAAATTGGCTTCAAGGATTGCTAGCAATGGAGCCGGAGAAAGATCTTGTATTCCCCCAGCTGTATGGTACACAAGCAAGTTACCTCAGCTAATAACTTATCCATATTTTGGACAAACAGAGAAGAAAGCCGTCTGTGCAAGCAATACACTGCTTTCAGTATGCAATGAGGTATGGCAATTTGAATGAGTGTATATCCATACACCTATAGTAACAAAACTTTCCATATCTTCTTCATATACACAACTAAGGACCAAACGGCAAGCCATGCTGAGATATAGAGCAAAATCACACCAGAGCTTGTGAGTGTTCCTGCCTCAACTAGACTGTATAGGGAAAAAAGCAAAGAAGACTTATTTATAACTCCGTATTACTTATTTATTTGGGGATCCTCAGCCCTCGTAGTCAAGTAATAATGCAGAAATCTACATTCCAAGATAAAGCAAACTCACCTGCTATCTCTCGCGGCAAGGAGGATGGTTAATGCAGTCATCTGTGTGGCAGTTTTCCACTTTCCCAAGCTATTCACAGCAACTGCCTGCACAAAAAAAAAACATAGGAACCTCAAGGTTCTGTTTGGATCTCAAAAGGGGAATATGGAAAGAAAAAGGAAAGGAAAACACTTAGGGTTTCCCTGGAAGTCCGGAACCCAGAAAATACTAGTGAAAAAGAATGAAAATGTTAGGGAAATGCATTTTTTAGGTGTGGGTTTACCCGAGTAGAAATTATATGTGAATAATGTTTTTGAAACTTTTAGGGGTTTTAGATATGGTTAGATTGCTTAGTATTAATTAATATATTAAGCAAATAAATAAAAGCATATACACACATATTAAAAGTAAAACCAATGTTTGAAACAATGTTTTATTCTCCTCGATATTAACTTTCCTTCCGTAGCATTTTCTGCCTTCCAAAACAGAATTTAAGGAAAATTGTGAGGAAAGAATATACAAGGAAAATAAAAGATAGGCTGAACCTCAATCAATTTATTAGGTACTATATGATGCTCGTTTTATCTATATGTCTATTATGCAAAGACTGAGAAATATATATATATATATATATATATATATATATATATATATATATATATCAGTTTGAATAAAAAGATAATAGTATATCACTTTCCTTTTGAATTTTCCATGATAAAACCAACATAAGAAAATAACCTTCACAATTATATTTTCCACTTTCCTTAGTCATTTATGGGTTCCAAAGTACCCTAAATCGGTCAAATAGAGCTGCAAATAAACATCCAAATGTATATAGTAGTCCCAAGGAAAAAGCTCTGTACCTCTGAGAGCTTGCTGCCTTGAGAGGCTGCCCATTCCCTAACAGCAGACATTGTAATCTGCACATGAAATTTGTTACACATTAAAAACAAGTATGACTTCTGAGTTCTGATTGCCATTATATCATTGCAGTTAAAATGGAACCAATGAAGCAGGAAATAAACATTAACATCAGTTCCAGGTCGGTGGTTCATTTCCACGCATGTATTCTACTGCTTGCAGTATCTATTTTGCACATTTTCAGTAGGTATCAATTTCAGCTTTGTGTGCAAGGAGCTGTATCATGATTTGGGCTTCAAAAGGAACTTATAGGATACTGTAAAAGAATGCCATATCCTTACCTCCTTAATTTACCTCCTAACATTCTTTAGCCCCTGATGTGGCACGAAAGTCTTCCAATTCACATGCCTCCTGTGAATTGGGTAGCCCTACCACGTGTTTAAAAGATTCCAAATACACAAACAGGATCTTATGCAAAAAGTCCACATTCAAATCTCTACTTTAGAAAAGCATAATAATAAATGCAGTAGCTAAACCATTTTCAGGAGTTTGTTTCAAAACTTTCAAAATACAATTATGACAAAGTTGGCAATCAGACTAATCAAGCCGAACTTGATATAAATGTTCACTTGCCTCCTAAGAGAGAAATTATACACATCAGAAAATTCACTCAACCAATAATAAGAGTAAAATACGATTTAAACAGAAAAAAGGGCAAATTACCTCTCTACCAATAATAGCTATTGAAGGAACAGCTAGCAACCATGGAAACTGTCCAAAAATACTAGCTTCCAAAGGTCTGGTACACAATAAGACCAAGGTCGCAGCAACCATTAGCTGCAGGTAAAGAAAAATACATTAAATACTTCCACAATCCATACGATACAATACAGAAAAGTTCCTCTACTTTGAAAGACAAATGCATCTTCTGCTGCTCAAAATTCCGGAGGAAGAATAAATCGCATCAAGGAGAATACCTTATCAGCAACTGGGTCTAAGAATGCACCAAACGCAGTCCCCAAATTAAGCTGGACAGAGTTGAACAACGAAACTTGTAAGTTTGAGTTGTAAATTTCAAACACAGATCTTCTCTTTACAAATAGTATATAAAAGAGCATGGATATGTACCTTCCGAGCAATATAACCATCAAGCCAATCAGTAATTGCTGCGGCAATGAAGATAGCAGTTGTGGTTGCTGGTCCCCACCAGCTATCCACATAGAAGGCTAGTTTTATAATGTCTCAATTAGTTTTCACATGCAACAATGCCAATTTAAATTAAGTAATCTAAACATGATTAGCAAAAAAGGAGAAAACCCCTACACTATCTGAGTGTTGCTACAGAACACTTTAGATATAGTTCATTTTCAACACAATAAATATCAGAATAAGATATTAGATATTCCAAGCACATAAAAAGATGAAAATGCTCTTTCAGAAAAAGATCGGTTTAGTATTGGAAAACATAAACTGGGAAACGAAGTTCATAAGAAACTGAAAACGACAAAATAATGGTGTCCACAAATGTTTCAGCAAATGAAAATCATTACCAGTATTCATAATTGTCAGCAAGGGGTGAATAATGACTTTGTAATGTCGTTTGGGTCGTGCATTTTATAAATATTTACTGGGGGTTGATTAGACTCCACTTCGTTTTCCAGTTCAGTTTTAAAATTCACTTTGAGGACACCAAGATCCTCAACATTTTCCTTAAAACAAACATATCCAATAGTAAAAAAATACCCCGAGTGATCAAACTTCAGCCGAAAACCCAAATATTACAGCCCACAATGGATTTAAATAGAAAGAAAACACGATCAAATGCAAACATGTTTTGACATTTTTTGATTAGATTGTAGTTACAAGCTTTCACCTCACACACTTGTTTTCTCAATCCCAAAAGTAAATAAAAACTATAAAGTTTAAGAATGTAGGAAAAAGGTGAAATATTAATGAAACGGATTAATCCCTAAGATGCTCCATATGTATATATGGAGCATCTTATGCTCCATATGTAAATATGACAGTCAGGATAAAGACTTATACAGTACAACATCACAAGAAAATTTACATCTACACATATTCTGATAACAGTTATTACTTTTTGGTATACGAAACAAAGTACACCATTCAATTTGATCCAAAGTTCCAATGATAATGAAACATATTTCTATCTGACATGAAGAAGAATCTGGTGTGTATCATAAGAGTTGGTCTAAATGTCAGCTATTAAATCAAGTGGTACTGATTGACCCCTCCCCCCCCCCCCACTCAGTATCTCATGAATTGACTTGTCAAAGTTAAAAAGGTTATGAAGGGACTTGCGGTGCTTGTGCATAAATTGACATCCGGTTTCTCTACACTGAAATTGCACCGTCCGTATCTGTCACTTGATATCTCTCTTCTACACCATCACTAAATATTTAACCTCCACCCCATCTCAAATGTCTTAAAATTTATGTACATAATTACTAGGGATCAAATTTTTATCTAGGGGCTTTATCAATAATATGCTTCTGATAGATATGATAATTCACAAGTCATGTTTAAAATAGTAATAAAAAGATTGACGATATAATTCACGATGCGACAGTAATGATTCTGAGCCATTAGAGCAGTAACACAAAGTTACCGAAAATAATCCAAATAGATATCTCTCTCTTCAGTAAATCATTGCAAAGAAAAAACTTGACAGCAAACACAAATGTCATAAGGAGATGGAGCTAAGATTTTTAGCCAAGACAGCCTTTTCAATTTAACCTCGTGATACTGACTCTAAACTCTAAAGCTGCATTTTTTTGTTTAATATGTTTTGTACTGAATGTAGCTAAATAGTTCCTGAAGAGGCAAAACATGGTAGCGAGATGAAAAACTCCATTATGTGATTGTATGGGATGCAAAAATGTGTACAGAACAACAATTACTCATCTGAGATGGTAAAACATACGGAATAACTTTTTCCAATGGTGGGAGAAAAACTAATTTTTTAGTGAAATAGATTCTGCAAGACGCGCAGAATAAATAAAGTCAGAAAAGATCAGCCAGCCAAAAACAAAGGAAACGGATAATAATCTTCAAAAAAAATGAAGAGGGCGTATATATAGACATACAGACAGACAAAATAAGGGACGCCTGAAACATCATTGGCTGCGGCACTTACTGCTTACGAGAAGCGGAACTGCAGCAACCCGGCCAATTGTCAAGATAGTAGGCAACGTGAGCAATTTAGCAGCGGGTGGTGGACGCGTAGAGGGCTTTTGACAGCGTTGGTTTGTCGGAGGCGGCGATGATGCATCCAACCATTCGTCTCCCTTGTTGTCGGGGTCAGAGCCCATGTGAGCGGCAGATATACTCCTGACAGCAATATGAGAAGAATGCTTTTCAACGCGGTAAAATTGACCGTGGAGGAATCGATCGTTCGTCCGGTGCGGAATCGTTAGCCTCCGCCACCAGGCGCGCGTCGGAACCACCGGTAATCTTAGGTTTATGGCGGCAGGGGTGAGATGACGGAGACGATTGCAAGGATTTCGGGAGCAGTAAATAGAGGCAGCCACAGCGTTGAGTTTGAGGGATCCTCCGGGCATGGTGGGAGTGAGATGGATTGGTAATGCGCGCTGCGGCTTAGGTTAGCATACGGACGAGCCTAGGGCTTACGTTAGCACCTAATAGAGATGCCACATTTAGGAGTGGGCACGGGTTGGTTAACCAATTTTTGGTTAACCGTGATTTCGGTTAATATGTTTGTAATATTATTAGTCGTACCGTGACATTGGTTAACCGGATAGCAACTAACCGTAATATAGGTTAACCAAAAACCCATTTGAACAACTAAAAAAATGCAACCTTGTATAATTGTACATATACGGTTCAATTGTGTGTCAGCCACCATTCCTACGATTAGGTTGCTCATCTAATTCACTACCAGAGATTTCATTCTCCCGTATGAATCAGACATAGGCTCCCGTTGATGATTTGATATTATTGAAACGCCATGTAAGACTAAGAAGAGTACGTACGTGGTACAAGTTTTTCCCATATACTCGTATTATTAATTATTACTCGGTTAACCGGTGGTAGTTTGATTTCAAAACCGTAACCGTACCATGTAGCGTTCCTTTCTTTTGGTTGGTTAACCGTACCGTTATTTTTTAAAAATGCGGTATGGTTAACCGAAAAAAACACCGATTTTTCGGTTATTTGGTACGGTTAGTCGGTTACGGTTTTTCATGCCCACCCCTAGCCACATTGGCTTTCTTTCTATTTTGTCAAACAAAGTTTGAAAATTTGGGGAAGTATTGCTTGGAGATGCTTGGTGGACCATGCAATATACATTAATTTGAGATTTAGGATGTTTTTAGTTTTTAGTTTTTAGTTTTTCTTTGTTGTTATTGGATTTATTTCGGTCTCCGATCACACCAGACCAACTCAAAGCACATCAAGCCTCCAAAGTTATGAAATACGCAGAAATCATCCATCTATTAAAGCGCGATCAGAAAAGTTCAGTCAATGTAAAAACATACTTAGAGACTTTGATCAAGTTAGCGTACATTTCTAAAATTAAATTCTACATATTTCTTATCATTCTCATCTTGTAATGTTACTAACTTGCTATACACTTCTAGCAACAAACAATACACGTGTTTTACTATAATCATTTTTATTAAAAAAATCAACAATTAAAATTCCGTTTGGTAACACTGAAATTAGTTGAAATGACTGAATCTGCTAAAATTGATAAATGTCTGGCTGAAGCATATGTTTGGCCGAATCTACTGGATTGTGTAAAAACTATATCTAAAATATAATTTATTGAGAATATATGTATATATATGTGTGTGTGTGTGTGTGTGTGTGTGTGTGAAAATTCTCAAGCCCAGCACCTCCCTGTCCGAACGACGTCCGAACACCGCCGTTTGGAGCGGTTCCCGGTGAAATTTGTTGATGAAATTTTTTGAGCATGTTCCTCATCCAGTCTAGTTTATCCATACCAAATTTCAGCCCAAAATTCGATCGGAAAGACAGTCAAATAATTTGTTGAAGTTAACTGCGTTCCCGATCAAATTATTTGACTGTCTTCCCGATCGAATTTTGGGCTGAAATTTGGTATGGATAAACTAGACTGTATGAAGAACATGCTCAAAAAATTCATCAAAAAATTCCGCCGGGAACCACCCCAAACGGCGGTGTTCGGACGGCGTTCGGACAGAAAAGTGATGGACAAGATAATGACTCTCTCTCTCTCTCTCTCTCTCTCTCTATATATATATATATATATATATATATATATATATATATATATATATATAGGGTCAGGTTCTAATGAGAAGACATCTTAACGTGAGAAGTGAGAAGTTACACATTTACCTATTCCTGGTGCACTTTTTTGCTAATTCGATGAACTTTTTGCGATGACAGAAAAGTTCTGATTAATTACGGAAATGCCACCGCGTCTAGCATCACTTTTTAAATATTTTTTGCACTTTCTCGTGCACTTTTTTGCTAATCTGATGCATAGATATTAAAATGAACGCACCAGATGCATTCTCACTTCTTACGATAAACACTCTTCTCATTTGATCCTTATTCTATATCTATATATATATGTGTGGGGGTGAGATCACATACAAACCATGTTTAACTTACTAACCTACAAACTCAATAATATGCAACACTTTGAACCTTAATATGTAGTACAAATAATGTAAAGATGCACTCTTTGAATTTTAATATGCAATACAAATAATGTAAATATGAAACTGCTATTTTATGGATTGAATAATATGAAACACTTTAAACTTCAATGAGCAATACAAATAATGTAAAGATGATTTGAATGGGAGGACTAGTTTGTATGTGATCCCACCCCTGCATCTTTATATTATTTTTACTGCATATTGAAGTTCAAAGTGATGCATATTATTGAGTTTGTAGGTTAGTATTATAAGCATGGTTTGTATTTGATCTCTTATATATATATCAAACATAGTTAAAACGATCATCTACGACAATTTCAAGCAATGCAGCAAGAAAAGTAATTTCAACCTTACTTATTTTGATTGTTATACAAATCAACGCGTGAGGTTAAAAGTTACATGTTCAGTGAAAAAATAACTAATAAGATCGATTACCCGAAAAACATGGTCATCAAGGACCTTTAGATGTCTGGTACGAAGTGTATCCCGAATAATAGTTTAACATTGTCCAAAGTTAAAAATGAGATTGATTATATTTCTATCCTCCAAATGAGTGTAATTTTATTTTTGTTTCCTTTGTCTAATTTGTCTAGATATTTTGTGTTGGGTGTGTTTCGAAAAACAAAGAAAATAATTAATAAAAATTAATTAATTAAAATGACTTAAGAAAAGAGAAAATAGATGAAGCAGAGTTTAGTCATAGCTCGTGCTACGCACGATGTCCTTAAAACGTATTCGTCGCCTTCCACGGTGCTAGGAGCGTTGCAACGACCGTTTCCCAGGATACGGTGGCTAACGAACTAACGTTTGAGCACACAAACGAAAGTTCCGACGAACGGGAACAAAGGCAGAACACTCAGGAATTTTCAGAGTAGCTGAAAGTGGTTTTAGAGCTAAAAACTACGTGCATATTGCTGTGAACGTGTAAGAACGTGTTGGGTTAATGGCCCGATAAGGGCCGGCCCATCAACCCTTAAAGACCTCCTACGAACATCCCCAGAAGGCCCATAAGGATCACCTACGAACGTCCTACTAAAGGCCCAAGAAGAAGGCCAAGTACCAAGGGTCAGGGGACGTATGTACTCCATCACCAGCCAGTACCAAGGCCCAAGGGCCAGGAGACGTACGTGTTCCACTGTCAGCAGGCATCCATGCCCAGGGTCCCTACGAGGTAGACGGGGACGAACGTCCCCACCCCGTGATAGGGTACCAAGGGCGGCTCAAGAATATATCAACGGCTCAAGAATAGATCAAGGATAGCTCAAGTGCGTGGGGACGAACGTCCTCTTACCCATTGACAGGAGATCAGGATTCCAGACGGAGATAGGGGCAAAGCGCTTGGAGACGAACGTCCCCACCCAATGGCGGGAAACCAAGATTCTGGTGGGAAGCGCATTTAATGAAGAAGATTTGGTGGTTGGGATCATGTCGTCCACAACCTGCCACATCAACATGTCCAACCACCCATTGGCAGTATAAATAGTTTCATTTATTTCACTGTAAAGGGTTCGCAATTTAGCACTCTAGCACTCTAGCAATAGTATCCCTTCGTATCACAGTATTGTACGTTCGGCCCTTCGGCTTGTAACAGTCTTTCAGTGAGTAAACACAATTTATCGAGCTTATTTCCTGCTTATTTCTCCATTTACTTGTCCATCGTCCATTTGAAACCCCCAGGTAACGTGTTGGGCCTGCGGGTTGAAGGAATAAACCTCAACACTGGCGCCGTATGTGGGAAAATGATCAAAAAGTTCTTTCAAACCAAGCTCTCCACTAAAAAATCACTCTAAGAGTAACCAAAAAACAAGTAAAATGGAAGCTAACAACGCAGGAAACTCTCAAGACCTCTCTTCACGACTTGCCCATAGCAGGAGGAGCCGCAACCAGGCGACGAGGGCCCAATCCAGTAGTCTCTGGTCTCATGGGGATTTTGGGGTGCTCAGTGACTTGATACCCCAAGAAGTCCGACGGGACCCGAATGCCTTGAGAGAGATAGCATACACCATCCGCCGCTTGGCGGACGAACAGGAGGTAGAACATGTGTATTCCGCTAACACAGGGCGAACATCGCTCTCTCCTCTTCGTTCGATGCACACGCTAGGCGAGCAAACAGTCGAGAACGATGGTCCTCGTCAATCGGTCCATACCAGGATCGTCAGGAACATCCATTCCCCGGACATTGGGGGCAACGGGGGAACCAGGTTCTTCGGAGGAGCACAACGACGCACAAACTGGGATCACACCCCTGTGATGCCCCATAATGATCAGGCCACAAGAGAGCACACCCCCTGATGGAAGGTATGAGGCAGGAGGCTCGTGTCATACATGGACACCACAACTTTGGGGTCACAACAGGGGGAAATACCTTGGCATTAGTGAACCCCGCGCCCACTATTCTTGATCCATGGGATGCCATGCTCATGGAGATGCAGAGGCAGGTCAATGAACTGAACCGACAGACGGAGGTCAGTCCGGCTCAGCCCGGGGTTGTTATGTCTTCCCCTTTCTCTGCCAGGATAATGGCAATGGAAATTCCAAGGGACGTCCGGCCCTCTAGGGGTCTGACCTACAACAGGGCCAGGGACCCAGGGCTCATTTACTCACCTTCCAGGGAACTCTTTCTATGCTTGGAGCTTCAGATGATACCATCTGAAGGTTGTTTTTTAGCACGCTCAGAGGACCAACGCAGGAATGGTTCGAGCAGCTCAGGCCCAGATCCATTGACAGTTTCGAATAGCTTTCTCGACAGTTCATGGCGCAGTTTGCCTCCAGCACCACACCAAAGAAACATTTTAGCTGGTTGACGAACATCTGACAGAATAAGGGGGAGTCCTTGTCTACCTTCCTCATCAGGTGGAGGGATGAAACCCTTAAGGTTGAGGACCTTCCAGAGAGTACCAGCATCACCCTCTTCACCAACGCACTCACCACAGGGGATCTTTACTTGGA